TGTCTGCCCACCAGAGTGAAGTAAGAGTTGGTATTCCAGCAAGTATAGTGATAAAAATCTATTGTAAAACTGCACCTGGGCTAAATTTTACTGCAAATTCACATTGTATATGTTGAATACATTGTGCACTGTCCAAAATCTGAAGAGACAGGAATATTACTCAAACACCAGGGCTCAGAAACACAGGCATGTTCAGAACATGAGCAGCACTTAATCACTCAGCATTTGTCCCTCCTGTCCTCTTAAGCAGCTGTACCCAAGGTCTGGGACCTCTGCTTGTGCTGCCATTCAGTCTTGTGCAGCCAGCAACTGGGACAGCCCATAACTCACCATATAAATCAGTGGCTGATTTCAGCCTCAGCCTTGCTCCAATAAGAGCCCTGCCCATACCTAAATACTACAGAAATGGGACAGAAACTCTACATAAGCTCCTCAAAACTGGTAAATACCACTTAGAGCCATCAAAAAGCTCACTTCAATAGTCCGGAGAAAGAGCCATCCCCACTGTGAACCATCCAAGGCACCGGGTGATGAAGATGTCAGAAAACCAATCTCTTGCCCATGAATAATCTGGTAGGATATTAATCTGTCAGAAGCAAAAGTGATGCCACTACTGTTCCAGCATGCAAGGAGAAGTTATTTCTCATTGCCTCAGTTTTGGTCAGAACATGAGATTTAAGCAGGAAGATAAAAAACCAAAACCACAAAGCACACAATATCAGTGTTCCCCTACAAAATTCTTACAGGGTGGAGATTAAATAATCCAACATCTACTCACTGTCCCAGTCCATGGCTCCAATCTAAGAAGCACATTGAGTACTTGTCAGCAATGACAACAGGCTTTTGGGAAGCCAGGGAACCCTCCAAGCAGAGAGAGCACTCTGGGCACAGGCAAGGCCATATCCTCTATCTCAAGGAAAGTGGGAACTTCAATTCCCCCACTGTATGAAACAGGATGGGAGATTTCAGTTTGTCATAAGTTTTGAGGGAAGATAAAAATTAGTTTAAAATCATTAGCTAAACATGTAAACATGCAGGATGAGTTCCAGGGCAAAGATTGTATTATTCATAGTACTTTAAATGTTAACTATTCAAGATTTCACTAAATATATTTTTCCAACAGTGAGATAATGGAATAATACCAAAACACAGTGTATGTTTATGATCTTTTAGGATTGTAATTTGTTTTGATTACATCAAACAGCATCTGCTCTGCTTTCTCTTTACTCAAAGAACCAAGAATGTACCTAATAATAATATCACTGTATTTTTAAATTTGTCTTTCTGCACATTCGAGTGAGATTCTTCCAAAAAAAACTTGAAAATATAAAACAAAACATGAGGAGAAAACAAAAAAATCTGTCAAGAATATTGCACATTTGCATTTGTTCTACATTTTTGAGAAAAAGAAGTATCTCTGCTACACCTCAGACTCTGATTCATCTGTAGACAAGTCCTAATCTTATGTTTATGCCATGCATTGGGGTAGTGATGCATTGGCTATGACCACTGTGGTGTACAATTTTTAATTTCCTAGCGGCAACAGTTTTTATTGCAACTGGCAGATTGTTTATAGTTATAATTTTGAGACGCATTTTAGTTGCTGTTCTTCTGGTCTTTTATTAACATACTGCCAGATAGCACTCTATGATGGCCCATGCTGGGTTAGTGATAATGTTGTCTGCACTGGCAGGTCTACCGTGGCAGATTATGGGCATAAAATGGGCAGAGGGCAATCAACTTGTCAGAATATTTACAAATTTCAAATTGCTCTTGACACCCTTAATGACTTGTACAATGAAAAATATTGCTATGTCACTATATCTGCTCTGCATGAAGAATGGTAATAGCTGGAGGAGATGAGCTGGGAGGGAGACAGCTCTCATTAACAACAAAGAGCTGTGATTGACATGAAAATATGCCTATGAAGCCAAAAGAAAGGTAAACGCATTTAGATTTAAGTGGCTTTATTGGGGCACCTTACTGAACCAAGAGACCTTGCTAGCCTAACAGATTCAGCTACAAAAACGTATCAGACTTATACAACACCTAACAGAAAGCCACTGAATGTCCAGTTCCTACATCCCATATCAGTTTTCTGGGACACCTCACCTTTCATTGCTATCCTCTCTGAACTAAAGTGAGAGGGGGGAAATAATTCAGTTGTGGTAAAAGGTAGTAAGAGGAGAAATAAAAAAAAATATATATAATTTTATCTGCTTTGAAAAAACGGAATTATACTTTGTCTGAATTGCACTTATCTACATTCATTGTCTGTGTGGAAACTGCTGAGACCCATCAGCATCCCTGGTAACATTTCCTCACCCAGCCTTCCTGCCTCTTCAGAGTTTTCAATATTATTCTTGCCAGGAGCCAGATCATGCACCTCACACCAACTAAATCCTTCTCTCTGGTGAGCACAAACTCTTCCACTGACCAGATCAGAGGTTTGTACTCTTAATGAGGGTGTTTTGGGTAAAACAGCAGAAGGTCACTCAAACAGTAAGATGCTGATGGTGATCACATATATAGCAGCTTGTATCGCTTTCATCAACACATAAATAAGCACTCCAGTAAAATGGTTAAATGTCACTTAGATCAGTCTTTGAGATACCACATGAAAGATGAGAGAACTGCTCTGACAAAACCAGAAGGATAGTAGTAGATCTGGGTATATAAACCTAGTCTCCTTAGTACCTGGTTTATATATATGTTAAATCTGTTTCCTATCCACACAGGAGTGCTTTCATCCTAGTCTGTTTTTCTATACACAAGACCTAGAGGAGTTTTTGATAACATAAGTTTTTCGAAGTTTAACTTTATAACTACAAAAGTAGAACAGTTTGAAAGGTACTGCCTGAAACATGATCATTTACTTCTTGTCTCAGTATACATTACCGGTACCATTTTTCATAATCTTTAACAATGTTAAAAATAAAAAGGGTAACAGTCTGAGCATCTGTTTTGTTATAAAATGGAATACGTTTACCTAAAAAATGAAAGATTTACAAATGCTTTTAATGTTTCTATAGAAACCAGAAAATCATAAACCATTTGTGTCAGAGCTGTTAACATAGGAATCACATATGTTTTCTCCATAGATATGCAAAAACATATTTCCAGCAGAACAAAACCTGCTTTGACTTCAAAGGAAATGGAAATGATGGCAAAGTCTTCTGAAATCCAAGACCATTGCTTAGCCATGGACCAACAGAAACATGAAAAAATCACAAGATCTGCCAAAATTCTTCATATTCTAAATCTTTACTTTTACTCACAGTCACATATTTCTTACATTTGTTATGTAAGAAGCCATCACAACACACACACTTGAGCATTAATAAGTACTTTTTAAAAATTACTTCAACTTCATCCCAAACAAAAGCACAAACACAGTTATTTTGCTGTTTCTTCTTCCTTAACTCTTTTAAAGCACTGTCACAAGAGGTCAGCAGATATTTGAAAGTGAGGGCATTTTCTACAGAAGTAGTCTTTATGAAGAAGCTATATCATACGTTTGACATGACAAAAGTAGTTTAAATTTATACATGCAAAAATTCCCATCATCAAGAAGGAAATGCATATATAAAGTTGCACCTGGAAAAAAACAACCTGAGTCCCATGTGCTTCTGGCATCTCAGTAGACTTCTGCACTGAGCATTATACCCTAGATCAGAGAGGGAGAGCTGGTGTCTCCACTGGTCACCAGTTAGGTGGAAAGGATCAGCCTTCCATCATGATCACATACATCTACTGACTGTAAAGGGAGTATGGAACAACTACAACCCTAATTGAGGCTCAGTCAAAACAGGGGAAAAGGATATAATTCTCCATGAAAATCACCATTTGTTGCTAGCAAGGATTTTCAGACCTGGAACAAGCTTTACCAAAACATAAAAAGAAAAAAAAATTAAAAAACCCCCCATCATATATACTCATTAAAATGGCTGTTACTCTGAGTAGTCTCTGAATTTGTACATAATAATTTGAAATAATTTTATTTTTACCTATGGAACTTTGGAATTCATATTGAGAAAAACTTGAATTTACTAGAGTACCAAGTGGGACTTGGTACATTGTAGCTTGGTACAAGCTACATTTCTTGCTCCTTTTAAGCATTAGGGTAAGCAAACACAGATGGCAGCTTCATTTTAATCCAGTTTAGTTCTAAATGTTAAAAACCATTCATGAAATCTTGACCTCAAGAATTAAAATCTGTTGTTTTTCTCTGCTCTGATTTCTGATCACTAATACAAGACTCATAAGACTTGCATGTTTTGGGATATTTGTGAGAAAGAACAATTCATCAACATTAAAGAGATCTTCAGCAGATCTTTTAAAATATTTTTTAATACAGGCTACAACAGTTCTTGGTATTAACAACTGATAAGAAGGATTAAATTCCTGTCACCCAATTTCAGCTGCTTCATAGTTTAATGGCTTATTAAAGCTAGAAATATAGGATTCCTGTAATATCAACACAGAGAAAGAATCACACATAAATAAAACAAAACCAAGTGCACTTGGGAGCACACAAGCTTTAGAGGAGCATAGGTGACTAGACACCTGATTTTTTGATGGATAAAATCAGGTGAAATGAACCCTTTTCTGTCATTCTCCCCAACCAAATTTCAAATGTTAGCAACTCTTGTGAATCCTATGTTACTTTCACCAGTATGGTAGGCAGCAGCATTGGTTTAGGAATTACAGCCTTTAAGAATCTGCTCGAATAGACTCAGGGATTGATTTAGTGGCTGATAGAGACAAGGAGAGAACAACATGTTCATCTGGAGAACTGGAATTTCTACATCAGTGGTGGTGTTAACATGCTAACCACATGCCTCTGAAAGTCTAGCTCAAGTAGATGTATTTCACAAGTATCTCATAATACATATCTGAGCACACTTTTCTGAGACAGATTGGACAGCACAAACTTATAAGAAATAATGCAAATACTCTTCCTGAAACCAGTAGCAGTAGTAATGTCAACAAATACTCACTAAAATAAGTAATCCACAGTGTGATACTTGAAGGTTGCCTCCTATCAGTCAGAGCTCCTGAAAAAGGCAAGGTTGAGCATTTAGTTTTCCTTCAGTTTCCATGGTTATTTTAAGGTCTGTAAATGACCTCTCTAGAGAAATTAAATTAAGCATAGAATTTTTTTTTTTAAATACAGCAAGCACCATGCTTCAGAAAAGAATTGTACTCTCTGTAATTTCATTCAATACTAATATTCTTATACACACATAACAGATATATAAATTATTTCATTGACATCCTGCTCCCTGGCATTTAGAATGAATATTTTATTAGTAATCACCCAAATACAATATACCAGGACTCCCAGTGAACTTGTGCTACACTGGAATGTATCAATAATGTTTGAAAATTCCTTACTGTTATTCCTGTCTATTCATTAACACTGCCACCAGTACAACCCCACCCACCCCACTGCACACAGGAGAATGGACCATGTTTCTAACAAAAGAACTGCTTCAGAACAGAAGCAAAAACAGAACATAAACTGCTCCCCTTCAAAAATGCCAAAAAAATTACTGTCTTTCACATGTCTGCAGATATTTTCTATGTTTATTTTCTCCTCTCATTAAGGATGTTGTTCTTTATTATTAATTAAATTAAAAACATCCACAGCCAGTGATTGAATTACCCCAAAGTACCTGCTTAAAAAGATCGATATTGATCAAACTAAAGGGTAGAAAGTACCACTACTCTTCTTAATGTAAGTGATTTGGCTCAAGGAAGGTTTTGATCAAATTAAGTGGAGGATCTAATTAACCTGTGATTAAATTAAGTGGAGGGCAAGCTGTATAGGCATAAATCCCATACACATTGAGATGAAACTAATAGTAATGCACATATTTACAGAGGCTGCCAGGGGAAAGCATGCAATAAATCCAGCAAAGAAAAAAAAAGTCACAGAAAAAAAGGGAAAATAAAGCATGAGGGGATTAGAATACAAAAAGAAGATAAAGACAGGCACAGATAATGATTACCATTGGAATAACGTCAGCCAAACCTGGGAGATTAAAAATTGTGAATAGAGCATAATAAAAAATCTTCCAGATTAAAAATCTAAAGCAGTGCAAAACTCAGTGATTCATATTGAAATAGAATTCCAGAAGCTACTAAACAGACTCTTGTATAAGGTCACATTATATCTGTCAGTAGTTTGTACCTCATGGGCAGTGTGATGGGAACAGTGGTAGGGACAACTTGCCAATTCACAACATAGGCAAAAAAGCCATGTGCCATTCCTCCATGCAGGAGAACCACTGCTCTTTGAGAACCAGGATGTTTATGGCTCTACACTCACTGAAGAGCCATTTGCAACAATTCAAACAGTCAGATATCCTTCCTTACATGACCCATTGTCTTATAAAAGGCCACTACCTTATTTCTGTCCCACAGCTCTGAATAGCATCACTTTAACTGCTCTTGAAGAAGCCTGCACATTTTTCACCCACTGTCAAAATCCTATTACAGCAAGTCTGAAACAATAGAAGTCAGAGCTCTTTGTGACTCCACACCACACAATTCTGGAACAAAATTATATGTCTTCAAAACAACCGGCTTCAAAATTAGCACTCTCTTTAAAAGAATGAGGAAATCTTGAGCTGGATGCCAAGACAGGCAGAAATCCCAACAGTTTATTGTCTTTATCTCATGAAGACTTGCCTTTTTTCTGAAGTTTTAGAGAAAAATTGTTGACATTGTGCAGCTTCAAAAAAATAATGTCTATGTACATCTTTCACTCTTATTAGACCATAACAATGTATTAATCTTGAGCGACCTCAGATGATATTTTGAAACACTGCTAGTTCTCCCTGTCTCCAATCTGGGGCACTTACAAAGACTTTGTTTAAGCATTGTTAATACCCTTGATATATTTAAAAAAGCATGGAAAAAAAAATTGGTTACAAATTCTTCAAAAGCAATGCATACAAAAAATAACATGGCATTATAGAATATTAGATGGTAGTATAGAATAATTAAGGGCATTATAGGATTTCTGAATTTCTACCAGCTACTTGCTAGCTGCAGAAGATTACATAAAAGCACCGTTCCAAATGTACCAGTTCCATTTCACCAAGGCAGTGGTGGAGACAAATCTTTTCAAGACAAAATTCTCGACTTGTTGTCTTTTCTTGCAAGACAAATATTGACTTCCTGGAAGTGCAAGACAATCATCTAGAAGATACAAGCCCCATAGTATTTCAGGGCTCAATGATAATCTACGAGACACCTCTGTGTCTTCTTGAAGCCCACCTGTTCAAAGACCATAGGCAATTACCTTGGTATCCAATTTTATTTAGCAACTCTACTTCCACATCTATTGGCAATTTTCCACAGTTTTGAAGCCTTGTAAAAATACAACAGACAGTAATTTCTGAGAAACAGAAAAATAAAGCTCATAAAGCTAAAAACCCAGATAGCCAGCATCACTGCCAAACCTGAAAACCTGACGTATTTTTCAGTGTTCCAGTAACATTAATATGAATTTTTGGTTACATTTTGTGCATAGCGATGATTTCTAGTTTAAGACAGTAGACAGTAACAGTAGCCAGTAACAGGCAGATTTTTTTTTTCTTCCTTTTTCAGCCAAAGAGATTTACTTCTGCAAAAATAGCCTACATTTTGCAATCAATAGCAGCACTGAACAATTGCATTGGAAATCATAGTGTATAATCAACTCCAAGGCACAAACAGAAGAATACCTATTGTTCTTTTCTGAGCAGACAAACTGAGATCTCTGTTATCTCTTAAGTATCAACAATTATGCAGCGAAGATATTAATTTTCCTTTAACAGGCATGGAATTATACATCTGGCTGCTGTCAACTGTTTTATGCTACTGGAGCAATGAATTAACCTTGCCCCATGCTGGCAACTATGTAAAATTAAATATTGTATCAAGAGCATGCCTTTCCTAACTCAGATGATTTCAAAAACTTTGCATCATAAAACCTTTTAAAGCAGTTTGATCTTCTTTTATGTATGAAGTAATCTATTTTTTTTTATATAGTACCGCTTCATTTCTGTACATCTAATAGTAACAATAACTTAACACAAAGTGTAATAATATTTTTCACTTCATCTCATGTGGGTTGCAGAACTTGTTGCAGCATCCCCTTTGACAGTTCTGTTGGTTTCTTCTTTATAATTGATCATACCCCAACTAAGATTCACGGGTACCTTGCCAACAATCAGGAACACTGGCAGTTCCCACAAAGACCTCTGGTTTTCCACTGCATTGCACATAATCATGGTTTCCATGACCTTCATGACATTTTGCCACATGCCCTGAGACAAGGAGGAAAACTAGATAACAAACCTAAGGAAATGGCTCAAACTAAAACTATTATTTATCTGTGTTCTCATGACAGCCATAGATTAATGGACACACAATTTCTCCATTTAGCTTTTCAGACAGATTTTGTTCAGACCATTGAATCTTAACTCTTTGTTCCTCAGAAGGTACTCACTTTTCTGTTTAATTTCCAACTAAAGGACATGTAGAAACGTTCTTGCAATTACTTTGAGTTTATTCTCACTGAAAAAAACCCCCAGGTATTAATAGCTACTATAGGTCAACAAAGAGTACATTGGCTCCTTCAGTGGAGAGCAGTACTTTGAAAATTTCTTATGCTTTTATTATTTCTTGTGTCTTACACAATTGTCTCCACCTGTGGAGAATAATCAGCCCCTTATTCTGCTACTTAGTGTTATACACACTTAACACTGTTAGACCTCAGTGCAAGTGATTCCATGTTTATTCTGTAAGCAATTTGAACTCACCTACCAGGTCTGGGGTTTTTTTTCCAAGTATTTATAAGCAGCAGTGTGAACTAGCAAGTTAGCTGTACCTGTGGCACTCTAATTCTGCATACATAGCACCTGTTTCTTGGGAGGCAGAAGGATTTTTTTTTGTGTGTGTTTCTTTCAACATCTTTTCTTTCAACATCTTTTCAAGGAGGGGCTAGAAGTCTAGTTTTGATAAACAAGTATTCACTCACTTAGCATGTCCCTAACCTAGTTCACTTTGAAAATAGTCTTTAATACAACACTCCCACAGAATACCTAATTTAGAAAAAAGGGTGAGGAATCAATACTGAGATAAAGTCTATGAATTCTTCTTCCTTCATCCTTGTTTAGAGGTAAAAAGTTAAATTTTTTTTCTGTATTAATAATTAATAAAGAATCTCAGCACTTTTTTAAATTGAAAGTGATGGTCTTAAGCCAAAGGTTTCTCCTGGATTACAAACTTCTGCTGCTGCCCTCAAGAATGCTGACTTTGCCTTGAGTATCTGATCTTTCTCTGTTTTGGACAGAAAATTTCTGGCCAAAGAAATACTGCACTTCCTCTCTCCTTATCAGAAATGGCTTCCTTGCTCACCAGATGTCTGGACAATGGGAAGATTATTGGAGAACTACTCGCCTGAGATCCGGTACCAGGGGTCCTGGATGCTTCTCCAAGCAGAGGGAGCAGATGCACAGAAAAAACTATGGTCAAAGCACGAGTCCAGTGTGTCTGGACTTTTTCTTGCCTGCCATTCAGATTCTTCCACCAAGGAAACATGGGTTCTTTTCTCTTTTGGACTGTTAGAAATAGCTAGATTTCCATGAGAATATTATCTGACTCAAATAAGGTAATATTTCTGACATGAAGTGGAGAGGTAGTTCAGTTTCCCAAAAAATTACCGAAGTGTTTTCTATCACTTCATAATTGAATTATTTTTCTTTAAAGTTCACTCTCTAAAAACAAACAGGGTTCATTTTTCATGTATTGAACCTTTTTAATTTTTACATAAAAGCACCATTGTTTTATGTAATTCAAAAATATAGTGGAAGAAATGAAAATTTCAGGTCTACTCATAACATCTTTGCAAAACTGTGAAAAATTACACTTAAGGGTAGGTCATCCCTAAGGGCTTCCAGAATAAAAATCCTTACTGCAGATTCCATAACCATTAAGTGCCTATGCTTTGAAATCTCTCTATCAGTTATATCCAAAAAAATGCTGTTAAATGAATTGTGATTTTCAGACACCTAGGAAATAATTGCTTCCATGATAACTTTTACTAAGAAGCAGTAATTTTCCTAAAATTAGTAAATAAATTAAAACTATATCAGTACAAATTGATACAGAGGACAGTAAAATATTTTACTAAAGATTCCTTCTGTGCATTCTGTTTCAAGTCCTGGGCTATATATTCTCCTTTTTTTTGAGGCAGAAGTCAATAGAAACTGCATATAAAGAACTAGGACAGTATACTGGCCTCTAAGGAGTCTGGATGCCCCAGGCAACCTGGAAATCATCCATCCTTCCTTGTTTTCAGTCTCTCACACAGCAGAGATACTAAATGCTACACAGATTTTAATATGCCAGTTCACACACGTCTCTAAAGAATATGGATATAATTGGCAATTGCCTAAGAAAAGAACTGAAACTAAAATACACCCAGACTCATAAAAAACATGACGGAAAACTTCAAATATTTGTTTTACTTTCTAAACCTGCTCCTCAAGCAGAATTGTGCTAGATGCCAGATAGCATGGGACAAAGACCAAAAATCCTTTGTTTTAGGATTAAGTTTCATAAAAGGATGGCCTTTCACTCGCATCTCACTGAAGGACAAGGTGGACCCACAAGCAAGAGAGGTCTCTCCTCATTACTACACCTCCTGTGACCTGATTTAGCAAGCTGAGTGATTCATTTAATGCCTCTTTACTTGGCCAAGTGCCACACAGAAATACCTTAGCTGGTGTTTGAAGGACATGGCTTCTATGCCAGACACTTTGTTAGACAGAATGAGCACACTGGGTCATAGCAAAGGGTCACTTAGGCCACTGGCCTCTTTCAGGTAGTGGTCAGCAGCATAAGCCCAGGAAACATCAGAGGCACATAAGTATTTCAGGTCCACAATAAACTCTCATTCACCAGTGAACTAAGGGTCAGGACTTTAAAGCCAGTGTGGCATCTTTGCCTTCCACAGTTCTCTGTAATCTTTTATCCCAGGAGTTTGTGCAGCTGTTTTTCAAGTTGCACAAAGCTGAGAATCCAGGGACATTGTGGCATGCAGAGCACTGTGCTAATCATCCTTTCTTCACATAGAAATAAAAGTAAAATATCCTTTGACCATATGCATAAAGAGACCCAGTGTAGGAGGCAGTTGGATATGAAATTCCTGAAATGACTGTTATCATATCCGCTGTTCTAAAGTAAATATTTTTATGTGTCACTACAAAAGACAAAAGGACAGAGAGGGCTGAGAACTTTTGTCCACAAGAGGAAAACAAGTTCACATCTTAAAAGGTGAGTTTGTCTGTTTTGTTTGTAGAGTCAGAACTGTGGTCACAAACACATTTCACCATTTCTACAGTTCAAAGCTAGAGTACAGCAACATCAAATTAAAACCAAAGAAATTTAAAATAGTTTCATTTAAACCTAATTATATCATTAAATACAATTTTTTATATTACACAAGAGGTTAATATCATAGCAACTTATTTAAAGAATTTCTTCAAGCCTGATCAGGAAAGTTAATAATTTAGATACCATATGAAGTATAAGAAAAATCCGTGTGATACATTTGTCTGTATAAAATAGCAGTTTTCAAGGTTATTATTTTCATATGTCTTAATAGAGGTGAGTGCTGGTAACTGGAAAACTAAATATACTTTGAGATTTATGAATTCACTAATTGCATTTTGGGAGCTAATTAAAAGCAAAGCCAAGAAGAATATTTCAGAAGGGGATAAAAAAGGTGTCTTCTGAATACACAAGTATGTGTAATATATAGTACACATATAGTACCACTATTTAGAGTTTCTCTGCCTGCTGCCTGAGGAGATGTACACGCAGACCTCCTACATGCAATGGATCTTTTCATGACTGAAAATGCTGCCATTCCCCTGTCTGGTGGGGCCACAGAACACAAATCAATTCAGTACATAATACAATATTCTAAATATGGCAAAGAAGAAATGAAGAGCCAGAAAAGCTAAAGTGGATTCTTGATTTTGATTCATGTAAAGCCCAACAAAGTTAAAATGCAAAAGTTACTACTTGAAAAATTTAGAAGGGTTTTGGAAGCCAGTTCTAGATTCCAGATTAGTGCAGAAAGAGATTAGAAAAGTCAGGAAACAGAACAAAGGTACTCACAAAGAGAGAAGGTAAAAAGTCTGCTAGTAAGGGAAAACAAAGGAAGAAGAAACTCAAGGAAAACTGTAACAGGACCTAAGAAACTAAAATTGTATTCTCCAAACAGATGAGATGCATGTATATTAATAACCTCTGAGTGGAAGGAGAACTATTAGGGTAGTGGTTTGGGTAAGTATTCTCTGTTAACAACCAGTGGTAACTACTTACCACCATGCTGTATGTTCAAATTATACCTGAGCCTCCAATTTTCAGCCAAAGGGAGAGCAATGTTGTCTCAAATGTTCACCAAAAGGATGAGGAAATAGCCTGTAGGACATGTAAGGTAAGAATCACATTAATACAGAATCTTATTTAGGGGAGCATACTAATTTCTCTCTCTTTCACAATCATTCTCTACATCATGGAGACAAACTGTTTGCCTTTCCATCTACTTTTCCTTTCCTTTCCTTGATGCTGACTGTAATCACCTCCAGGCAAATGGAGTTATTATAGCAGACTTTTCATCTTTACTGGTATTATGTTTATATCTTAAAGAAATGGTTTTGAACTAGGAGCAGTAATGGATGAAAGAGCAAAGTTGAATACAGGGGGAAAACAGCACCACAGTAGAGAAGAAAGTGAAATGAGAGGGTAAAGATGACCTTATTTGTTCAAAAAGCATTATGGGCTGTTTTTCATTCCTTCTTAGCCACAGATTCAAAAAAATTAATGTTTGTAATTTTCTTTTCTCATTTCAGACTTTTAGTGTCTATATAAGCATAGGAAATATCTTGCTTTAAAAAAAACAAAAACAGATTTATAAAACCATAAAAAATAAAGAACTACAAAAATCAAAAACCCCCACAATCTTTTTTTCATTATCCTAATGGAAAAATAGTATATTGTCCATTTCTTCTTTTTGAGAGACTAGTTCTTACACAAGATGAAAAATTACCTTTCAACAAAATAACTTCACAAACAAGTATGTAAAGGTAGAAAATATCAAGGAAAAGCACAACTCTCATACAAAAAATGTTGCAGTAGAGGATGTTGCTGGAAGTTGACATTCTAATTCCTTTTGATCTTTGTCATTTCTTAAAAACATACTAAATTCTTCTCCAGTTTTAAAACTGTGTAGTCATTCTGAAGATAGCAAGGGCATCCAGGCAGAGGGATAGTATCTGACATAAAACGAAAGTCATTGTCACTCTTTATGTAAGTTTGGAAAGCAGAATCAGAGCTTGCTTGCATATGAAGATCCAGAAAAGTAAGTGAACTTTTTCATATTAGCTTATGACACAGACTGAGGAATGCAATTGTTGCCTTCTATTGGTTATAAGGGTGGGACAAACCAGTCATTAAATGCAACCTACTTGAATTAAATAGAACACGGAAAACATGTTATAATCACAACCTCATCTATCTAGTATATATACACCTGAAAACATGAAACAAAGAACATAGAGTCCATTCACCAAAAACAGGGCAACACAATGTGAAACAAAAGTGAAGTTCAACTTGTTTTTCCCTTTGTACAGAAGGAAACTATGCTTAAGTACATAGGCATTTATTGCAAAAAACATCATTAACAGAAATTGGAATTTACCTAGTGTTACTCATCCTAATCAGACTCAACTTCAACCTCTTAAAAACATAATTAAAATAAAGTTTTCCCTATCACAACATTATAATGGTATTTTCACATTGCAGTATCCAGAGAATGGCTCCAGTCCTTACTGGCAAGAATACACTTTGACATTTCTTAGAAATATAGCTTTAATCTTAAAGATTATAAAAATTACATTAAAAAAATTATGCAAGTTGTCCTACAAGCAGCAAAGAGGCTGGAGTTAGAGGATTGTTAATTAGAGTTAGGAGACATTGCAAATTCCTCATGGACCAGCACAGTGCTGAGGCTATGATAATATTTATTGGCAATGGCCAAGTATTGTCCATTGCCCAACTTCTCTCTGCTCTTTATTTATTTGATTAACAAAAACAATTTGCTTGGTAGAAATACCTGACCAGTTGTGAATGTTTCCCTGAAGCAAGTTCTTTCAGACACAAAAAGACCTTGTAATTAAAAGTGTCCTAATGAAGCTGTAAGTTTAATAAGTTTATATTTTTTTTTCATTTTAGCAGAACATTCATAATTAGGCTGTACATCTTTTTCACTAGCATTTTCAACTGCAACAACTATAAGAGCAGATTCCTCCACCCAGTAAAGTCAGTCCCAGTCTGTCATGATATTCCTAGTTTATGAAAACTGGGAGATTTTCAGAAGAATTTTTCTTTAGTGACTCTGTGTGAAAGAGTAAAACCATATATCTTTTCCCATCTCAACAACATTTTAAGACTCTTTCTTTTTCAGTTGATTACAATGAGGACTGATAGGTAGAGAAGCAAGTCCCAGAAAATTGCATCTTGTGGTGTTTTGCAGAAGGCAGGTACGCATCATGAATCCGTACTCAGCCCAATGGAAACCCGTCCTTGGCAGGGATGTTCTGTGCTTTGCTATCAGCTACAGCACAGAATCTGGCACACAGGAACAAGCCCCAGCCTCTGTTGACAGCCATCACGTGGTGTATCAGAGCAGAGGTATGCTATACAAATGTCCAGGAGCACAGGATAATCTATAGAGTCACCACCCAGGTACCTTCCCCTCTTCCTTGGCTTTTTGAAGAATTCGTTAAATAGCTCCACTTTGTGTTTGGGGTGTTGCCCTCATCTAGGTTTTTGCTCTGTTAATCATTAGAGTGTGATCCATGATGCTCTCTCGAGGCCTATAAAAAAACCAAATATCTCTTCCCTCAAGTAGCAGGGCAGTTGGAACTTCCGACCCTTCTAATGGGGTTATCAGCAAAAGGAACATCAAGGTTGCTTTATGGTTTCAGCTCATTCCCAATGTGATCATAATAGATTTAAAGAGAAACATGAGAACAGCCCAGAGGAAAAAAAAAAAAGGTTGAGCTGTGATCCTGCCAAGATACAGGTGCTTGATTTTAGACATATGGACCATAGGGCAAGAAGTGGGGAGAAAACCACTGACAACTAAGGATGCAGCAAAAACCTGAAAGAGATTTTTTAAAGCTGACTCATTTAATAATCCATATTATATTTTTGTACACAATTGTTGCTGTCAGTTTATTTCCCCAGGATTTTTGTGGATTCACAGTTAAAAACCACCCGTCATTGTAGGTGTCCCACAACTCAGCCAGAATAAAAAGGTGCTGTGAAATACTACAAGTGAGGCATCATGTTTTTTACATTGTAAACAACCTGTTTTAGACTAAACGAGGGATGAAGAGTAAGCTTCAATGAAATGCAGCAATTTCTTTTCCCCTCTGGCTGCTTACGCCATAGAGCATGATGACAGAGAAAATGACAAGTGAGTCACTAAAACAACATTATTGGAATTGACAGAGATTGAGACAGTCATATTTGTCTCTAAAAGATGCAGTCTATGTTTATCTGACTGGGCTGGAGTTGACGAGTTTAGGTACCTGCAGGCTCACATCTGGTTATGTTCTAATCTAAATTCCAATGAGGTTATTGATTCTGTTTGTCCAAGAACACGAGTGAAGCTGGGTGGGCTTTACAGAGTAAATTGTTGTCTGAACCCTGCTACAAGTGGATGCTTATCCCACGTATAATGTTGCATGCAGTCTCTATGGAATATGGCTATTACAGATATTGCTGGCTCTCTGGAGATTAAATGTTCTACAGTACTAACTCCAGAGATTTATATTTCTTGACGATTTTATGGCCCACCTTAAATAGTTGCCCTCTGTAAAAAAAGCAGCCTGTACTTAGAACAGTATGTAATGGTAAGAGCTTCTTTACAGAGTTTTTATAGAGCACTGGGTATCAACTGACAATTCACTCTGAGACAAATAACAGAGCCACCAAGGAGGAGGGGAAAAAAAACCCAACAAGTGACAACCTTACAATAACCTGTGCAGAGGCCTCTTCTGTCCCAGTGCATAACAGCAGATCAATAGTGTAATTCCAAACAACATTGAAAAAGTCATCTAAATATTTCTATGCTTCTCTGTAATCGTTCCCTTCTTCATGAGGGTGAAAGTCCTGTTAAAAATGGAACTGAGTAAGCTACTAACAAATGGAACTCTCAACAGGTAAAAGTGATTAAAACAATGTAAGACTGAGTAGAGCCTGTGCTGATAGAGGCCAATGTGTAGACACTTTTCTTGAGGAAGTATGACAGAAAGCTATATGATAAGGAGTGAAGGAGCAATGTACATTTTCACACCCTCCCATTTTATAACATAGAAGTTTTGTGTCTGTGTAGCTGATTTGAATTTCAGAAGATCCTTCTCCCAGGGACTGATATTTGTACTAGCACTCTCACAACACATATAGAAACCCAGGGACTACATAAAGCTAAAAGGCAGGAGGCAAGGTCTGAACCAAAGTGATCATGAAGACCTATGGTCCCGATCTTTTTCTCTATTTGACCACTTACAGCACGGAAAATGAAGATGAAAGACAATGTCAATGCACACAGGTTGGAGAGGTTAGGGCAAAACAACAGAAATTTTAAGCTGAATTAATACACTGGAATTTACATAAGATTCCTTTCAGGCTTTTCTGAAAGAATGGTGTTGACAGGTTCTATGTAAAAGCCCATTACCAAGGAACTACTTTATTAAGCAGCTCCTTTACACATCTTTACAAATCTAGCTTGAAGTGCAACCTGGCACAATGCAAATTGCTAAAAAAGCAGCTCAACAACCCATTCACACCCAAGTGCAGGGGTATAAGATAAAACTTGTAATCCCTAACCAAGGCTGGATTTAGGCTCTAGATAAAAGAAAGCAGAAAGAGGACAGAAGACAAATTCAGTATCAAAGAGCAGGTTTACAGGTATTCCTGGTTTCATTTCCCTATGGACACTATTTGCAGAGAACAAAGGTTATAAGAAAGCAAAGCAATTGCCGTAAATTACTGTGAAGCAAACCAAAGTGGAGAAAGGACTTGACACCAAGCTCAGTTCCAGCTGAATGGTATTTAGTAAGTTAACTTTGGCATTGCTCTCTTGTAGTAGAAGTGCTGTAATATATGTTATTATCCACTGATATTAATGAGTTCAAGAACATTTAAAAACTGTGTATTGTGCATGAGCATCATCCTTTTAACCTGGAATTCTTATGGGACAACCATAAATCCATTCTTTGATGAAAGACGAGAGTTTTACAGAAGTCATTTCTATGAAACTTCTCATCAGGTAAAACACAATGAATACCTCAAAGTTTTTATTACACTCTTTATGGACTTGTTAGGATGCATAGAGTGCATCCTGAGGGCAA